TTAGGATTGTCTGTGTATAGTACAATGTCATCAGCAAACAGTGACAGTTTTGCTTCTTCTTTTCTGATTTGGATTCCTTTTATTTCTTTTTTGTCTCTGATTGCTGTGCCTAAAACTTCCAAAACTATGTTGAATAAGAGTGCTGAGAGTGGGCAACCTTGTCCTGTTCCTGATCTAACAAGAAATGGTTTCAGTTTTTCACCATTGAGAATGATGTTGGCTGTTGGTTTGTCATATGTGGCTTTTATTATGTGGTGGTAAGTTCCCTCTATGCCTATTTTCTGGGAGTTTTTATCATAAATAGGTGTTGAAAGATTTTCTGCGTTTAACAAGATCATCATATGATTTTTATACTTCAGTTTGTTAGTATGGTGTATCACATTGAATGAGTTGCGTATATTGAAGAATCCTTGAATTCCTGGGAGAAAACCCACTTGATCATGGTGTATGATCCTTTTAATGTGCTGTTGGATTCTGTTTGCTAGTATTTTGTTGAGGATTTTTGCATCTATGTTCACCAGTGATATTTTCCTGTAGTTTTCTTTCTTTGTGACATCTTTGTCTGGTTTTGGTATCAGGGTGATGGTGACCTCGTAGAATAAGTTTGGGAGTGTTCCTCCCTCTGCTATATTTTGGAAGAGTTTGAGAAGGATTAGTGTTAGCTTTCCTGTAAATGTTTGATATAATTCGCCTGTGAAGCCATGTGATCCTGGGCTTTTATTTGTTGGATGATTTTTCATCACAGATTCAACTTCAGTGCTTGTATTTGGTCTGTTTATATTTTCTCTTTCTTCCTAGTTCAGTCTAGGAAGGTTGTGCTTTTCTAAGAATTTGTCCATTTCTCCAGGTTGTCCATTTTATTGACATATAGCTGCTTGTCCTTTGTATTACTGCAGTGTCAGTTATTACTTCTCCTTTTCCATTTCTAATTCTATTGATTTGAGTCTTCTCCCTTTTTTTCTTGATAAGTCTGGCTAGTGGTTTATCAATTTTGTTTATCTCTCAAAGAAACAGCATTTAGTTTTATCAATCTTTGTTATCATAACCTTAATTTATTTCTGATCTGGTCTATATGATTCCTTTCCTTCTGATAACTTTGGGTGTTTTTTGTTCTTTCTGTAATTGCTTTTGGTGTAAGTTTAGGTTGTTTATTTGAGTTTTTATTTTGTTTCTTGTGGTAGGATTGTACTACTGTTATCTTCCTTCTTAGAACTGCTTTCAATGCATCCCTTAGGTTTTGGGTCTTTGTGTTTTCATTGTCATTTGTTTCTAGGTATTTCTTGATTTTCTCTTTGAATTCTTCAGTGATCTCTTGGTTATTTAGCAGTGTATTGTTTAGCCTCCGTATGTTTGTATTTTTTACAGTTTTTTTCCTGTAATTGATATGTAGTCTCATAGCATTGTGGTTGTAAAAGATACTTGATATGATTTCAGTTTTCTTAAATTTACCAAGGCTTGATTTGTGACCCAAGATATGATCTATCCTGGGGAATGTTCCATGAGCACTTGGGAAGAAATTGTATTCTGCTGTTTTTTGATGGAATGTTCTCTAAATATCAATTAAGTCCATATTGTTTAAAATGTCATTTAAAGCTTGTGTTTCCTTATTTATTTTCATTTTTGTTGATCTCTCCATTGGTGAAAGTGAGGAGTTAAAATTCTCTACATTGATTTTGTTATTGTTATTTTCCTATTTTATGGTTGTTAGTATTTGCCTTATGTATTGAGAGGCTCCTATGTTGGTTGTATAAATATTTACAATTGTTATACCTTCTTCATCGATTGATCCCTTGATAACTGTGTAGTGTCCTTCTTTTTCTCTTGTAATAGTCTTTATTTTAAAGTCTATTTTGTCTGATATGAGAATTGCTACTCCAGCTTTTTTATTTCCATTTGCATGAAATATCTTTTTCCATCTCCTCACTTTCACTCTGTATGTGTCCCTAGGTCTGAAGTGGGTGTCTTGTAGACAGCACATATTAGATTCTTGTTTATGCATGCATTCACCAGTCTGTCTCTTTTGGTTTGAGCATTTAATCCATTTACATTTAATGTAATTATTGAAATGTATGCTCCTATTACCATTTTCTTAATTGTTTTGTGTTTGTTATTGTAGGTCTTTTCCTTCTTTTGTGCTTCCTGCCTAGAGAAGTTCCTTTAGCATTTGTTGTAAAGCGAGTTTGGTGGTGCTGAATTCTCTTAGCTTTTGCTTGTCTGTAAAGTTTTTAATTTCTCCATTGAATCTGAATGAGATCCTTGCTAGGTAGAGTAATCTTGGTTGTAGGTTTTTCCCTTTCATCACTTTAAATATGTCAAAATACTCCCTTCTGGCTTGCAGAGTTTCTAATGAACCATCAGCTGTTAACCTTATGGGGATTCCCTTGTATGTTATTTGTTGTTTTTCCCTTGCTGCTTTTAATATTTTTTCTCTGTATTTAATTTTTGATAGTTTGATTAATATGTGTCTTAGTGTGTTTCTCACTGGATTTAACCTGTATTGGACTCTCTGCACTTCCTGGACTTGAATGATTATTTCCTTTCCCATATTAGTGAAATTTTCAGCTATAATCTCTTCAAATATTTTCTAGTCTCTTTCTTTTTCTCTTTTTCTTCTGGGACCCATATAATTCGAATGTTGGTGCATCTATTATTGTCCCAGAGGTCTGTGAGACTGTTCTCAATTCTTTTCATTCTTTTTTCTTATTCTGATTTGTGGTAGTTATTTCCATTATTTTATCTTCTGGGTCACTTATCCGTTCTTTTGTCTCAGTTTTTCTGCTATTGATTCCTTCTAGAGAATTTTTAATTTCATTTATTGTGTTGTTCATCATTGTTTGTTTGCTCTTATTTCTTCTAGGTCCTTGTTGAATGTTTCTTGTATTTTCTCCATTCTTTATCCAAGATTTTGGATCATGTTTACTATCATTACTCTGAATTCTTTTTCACATATACTGCCTATTTCCTTTTCATTTGTTTCATCTGTTGAGTTTTTTCCTTGCTGCTTCATCTGCTGCATATTTCTCTGTCTTCTCATTATGCTTAACTTACTGTTTTGGAGGTCTCATTTTCGCAGCCTTCAGGTTCATAGTTCCCGCTGTTATTGGTGTCTGCCCCTAATGGGTAACATTGGTTCAGTGGCTTGTGTAGGCTTCTTGGTGGAGGGGACTGGTGATTGTGTTCTGGTGTATGAGGCTGGATCTTGTCTTTCTGGTGGGCAGGACCGAGTCTGCTGGTGTATTTTTGGGTGTCTGTGAACTTATTATGATTTTAGGCAGCCTTTCTGCTAATGGGTAAGGTTGTGTTCCTGTCTTGTTATTTGTTTGTCATGTGGTGTCCAGCACTGTAGCTTGCTGGTCATTTAGTGGAGCTGTGTCTTAGCATTGAGACAGAGATCTCTGGAAGAGCTCTCACCAATTGATATTACATGGAGCTGGGAGGCCTCTCTTGGCCCACTGTCCTGAACTTGGCTCTCCCACCTCCGATCCTCAGGACTGACATCCTTCTGGAGCACCAAGACCCTTTTGGTAAATCTGAGGTCTTCTGACAGCATTCAGTAGGTGTTCTGTATGAGTTGTTCCACTTGGAGATGTATTTTTGATGTATTTGTGGGGAGGAAGTTGATCTCCATTTCTTACTGCTCTGCCATCTTGCTATATCCATTTTTTTTGTTTTTGTCAGGCTATAAGCCTTTGTCACTAATTTATATGAATGAATAAAATCTATAGTACATATTATTGAAGTGGTCAGAGCCACTTAAGATACTAGTTACCACTGGCTTTCAATATTTGCTGGCACTTTGCTTTGGATAGAAAATTTATAGTTTTGCTTCTAGCATTTACTATTAAGCATGGAAATAGAGACCTCTAAGTCCACATTATTTTACATTATGCAAACACCATTGAATGCTATTGGGAAACATAATGAATACATGTATTTATAAGATATGCACTCCTTTTCTTAGAAATAAATCAATGAGGGCTATACATTTTAAGTATTTCATAGTAGGCCAAGTCATATATATGATACCCATTGAATACTTTTCAGAATGAACCTAGTTAGAGCTGTCTCTTTTATAAATGCCTAAAGATTATGCATGTACAATTCAGAATTTATCTTAAGGATTCTAGATGGCCTTAATGGAAACTAGATGAGAAGACAAAGCTCCTTTTGCATAAAACGTCACTATCAATTTCTAAATGGAAAGTACTACCCAGCCTTCTTGGACTCTTTGCCACGTATGATGCTGTGTTTGATGCCAAAACATGGGGGAAATGTTTTAGGACCTAAGGGAATAGTCGAGAGAGTTTTTCTGTTTTTAAAATGAATTCATGTTGATTTTTTAATTTTATTTCTGCCTATTTACCTGGAAAACAAAGCTATTCCATAATAATATCAATGAACTTTTAGTTCAATTTTAAAGCTAAGATACTGGTAAATGTCTAAATTTCCAGAATCATGTGCCAGTGAGTTCTTGATAGCAACAGAAAAGTGATCCTTGATAATACATTTAATATCAAGAAAATTTGCCATTTTGACCTATCAAGCCCAAGGAAAATTTTATCTCTAAACATGGAGATTGTATAAATTATAGGGATTATATTTCAGGAAAGAATAAATTACCAGTATTTCTAAAAGCAAAATGAAAAAAAAAAACAGATCTGTAGTAATCAATCTGTGAAAGGCAAGTTTTATTTTGGCCACATGATGCCTGTGAATTCCTATTTAATGAGTTATCATCAAAAATTAAGCTCTCTGAGTCTGAGTATAAAACTCTGAGATAAATGTCCATGTTTCATTTTTTATGTCTTAATAAACTCAAGATGACGCCTATTTGAGCAGAAAATGTAGGATCATAGCTTCCTTTTGAAATACCCAATAGTAATAACCTATTGAAGGAAATGGCATTTTTTCTTTTGTGTGTGTAATTTTTGTTGTGTTTGTAAAAGTCAAGTTTTTTTCTCATTATTCTTGCTCATATTTCACTCTTCTCTCTCTAGTAGTGTCCAGAATTCAACTTGTGAGATACCTGAGTGATGACAAGATTGTGAGATTCAAAGAGGTATCTCCAACTCTCAGTGACAAGCAAGACTCACAGCAAAAGTTAAAGGAAAAGCACAGCCCCAACCTTTTTCCAGATACAAACACTTTCATGGATAACAAGCATAACAGAAATGCCAGCCACAACATTTATGTCTGTAAGAGTCATTATACAGACTATAGATACCAACAGAGGTTTCAGAGTTCCGGGTCTCAAATGAATCCTATTCATCTCCTAAGTGCTGAGGATTACACCTCTCAAGTTTTAGCGCCTATCTGCCACTCCACATCCATGAGCCCTTTCTGTGTTGTACGCCCTAAGACTCAAATAAACAACACACACACTTTGGACACTGGAGCTCAAGTATGTTCCAAATGTTTTGTAGAAATCAATAATTCTTCTTTTCATAAGTGTCTTGTGAATTCTGATGATGATTCAGAACCCTACTGTCCTTTACATCTCCAAATTCCCTTGGATTCTAAATATTCTCTGAGCCCCAAATCTATTAGACACCACAAGACTTCTCGGAACAGCCCTTTAGCTCGATCCTTGGATCCTAAGCATTCTTTGGGTGTCCACTGCCCTCTACACTGGGAGGATTCTAAATATTCCTTGGGTTCAACTTTTTATTTACACTGTGAAAGTTACTCAGCTCTCCAAATTCTCATAGGGTCTACTGTTACTCATACCTTTCCCATGAATCCTCAAAATAACATTGGCCACCATAATACCCCTGGCCCAGACAATGTCATCAAAGCCAGCAGCATTGCTTGTCTTGAAAGCAAGAGCAAGTTTAAACATACTGCCAAATTTGAAAATGAGGTCAATCCTGACAATGAGACTAAACTGGTCAGTACTGGCAATCTCAAAGATAAGGCCAATGCCAAAGGCAAACCTCTTCTCAAAGATGAGACAGACTCTGAAGATGAGAAAGATCCTGAAGATGAAACAGACCCTGAAGATGAAAACAACACCAAAGATAAGAAAGATCCCAAAGATAAGCCTGACCCTGATGACACTGATCCAAAAGATAGCAATGCTGAAAATGATGCAGACACAAGGAATGGGTCTGATCCCAGTGGTGATTCTGACCCTACAAGTGGAGCTGATGCTAACAGTGATGGTAACTCTAACAATGGAACTGACTCCAGCAGTGAACCTGACTCTAACATTGACAATGCTACTAACAATGATGCTAACTCCAAATATAACACTGATTCTGAGGAGGAGAAGCACACCAACAACTCAGGAAGTTTCTCTGGCTTAGACATTGATGATCAGGTCTGTACTGCTGACTCCAACATTGGCACTAATCCCAACTACACCTCTAGTCTCCAAGATGGATCTGGCCTGGACTACACTTCTGGTTCCAGCAATGGTGCTGACCTCAGCACTGGTTCAAGCAGTAACATTGGCCTCAACAATGGACCTGGCCCTAACATCAATGGACCTGACCTCCAAAATAATGGCCCTGGACCCCAATATATCAGACCAGGTCCCTTAAGCCCTGGACCCAGCAACAATGGCTCTAGCCCCGACATCACAGGCCCTGGCCCTAACAATAGCCCTGTCCCAAACAACAATAACCCTGGCCCCAACAATAATAACCCTGACCTTGAAAAAGACCCTGATTCTAACTATAATTCCAGGCTTAGTAATGCTACTAGTCACAATAGTGCTTTCAGTCCTAACAAGGATGCTGATTCCATCTATGAAACAAAACCCATCAGTTCTGCTGGCCACAACTATGCAGTTATTTTGAACTGTAACTCAAACCTTGAATGTGTCCCAGGATTTATCCATGCAGTAGGTTCTAACTTTGTAGTCAACCCCAGCTATATTGCCAGAAATATCTATGCTGCCAGTCCCAGCTCTACAGCTAGCACTGTCAATGTCACTGGCACCAGCAACACTAGTTGTACTGCTGCTAGTAGCCCTACTTATACTCCTGGAACCAGCTGTGCCTCAGACAATAAACATGACCCCAGATTTATTCATGTCATTGGCTCAAGCTTTGTCATCAACACAAATTATGATGCCATAAATACTCATAATGTTCATAATTTGACTAGTACCAGCAATGCTAATAATCTTTCTGAGACTGAATTGGAAATAAATTTCAGTTCCTCTATTCCTAACAGTGTTTATAGTAACTCCCCAATTTTTGTTGCTGACACTAACTATATTTCCACTCCTGAAAATTTGACCACCTCTAAATTTTCTGATCCATCTAAGCTTGATAGAAATTATACAGTTTTTGCTGATCACAAGTTTGGTGCCTACTTCAAAGACTATACTGGTTCCATGGACTCTGCCAGCTTTAAGCATGTCACTGAGTCCAAGGATGCCCTTGATGCCAGGGAATCTGGCTTTTTAAAAGATTTCTCAGAGGTTCAGAATCCCATTGGTATCAAGAATCCTGGCAGATTAAACTTTTGCTCCAATTCAAATATTTCACTCCCTAGTTTTGATATTATAGTAGAAGCTGAACCACTAGATGTTGTGAAGTTTGCCATACCATCAGGTGCTGTGAATCCATTTTTTAAGGTAAGTTTACATAAATGCAGATTTTAATTTTTCTACATTTCCTACAATTCAGAGTATTACCTTATGGAACAAGATTAAAAATTCCTTTTTTAAATTTACTTGGATATTCAAAGCATGGAATAAAGGAGACAAGGTGTCCAGTATTACTTCTCCTTTGACCTGTACCCAGCAACATGGTTTTCCATTTGAAAGATCCAGCTGCTATACAGCTGGCAAATAGCAAAATGGCCTGCTCTGTGACTGGCTCATTTACCACTTTATCAAGGGTTGCATAACTCATAAATGTACCATCTAGACCTAGTAATGTTTTACCTACTTCCTCTCACCTGTACATGGCCTGGTATTGGTTCTTTCCCTATATGTGCAGAGAGAGAATAAAGTTAAATGAACCTTAAATACCATGGACCAAGACATTTTAAAACAACTATCTCTCGAAAATCCCACTTTATGAAGAAGGTTGTCAGAACTAGCCATGATATTCTAGTCTCCCACTTAAATAAATAAAATTTAAATTACTTTTGTGACATGATATTGGGGATCAAAGAACCCCAAATTTTTGCTACTTTTGACTTAAAACTCACTTTATCTTATTTCTCCTGAAAATATGTAGAACTATATTTTAATGAGTCTTTATCAAATGTTTCTTCTAGCACTCTGAATTGCATACACAAAGATTGCAGTTTGATAAACTGTTCTTAGTAGCAGCAAGTAATATTGTTTTTGATGAAACTTAACCAATACGTTGTCATTGAGACATAATTAAATTGGTATGTGTTGACTTTTAGCCCTTTTATACTTCATGAGACATGGCAAACAAATACACTTAATTTGGAGTGTAGTGTCTGTGTACATAAATGTGCAACTTGATATAATTGTTTTCTACTAGAATGTGTAAGTGAATCTTACTGTATATTTAAAATAAGGCATAAATTCTTATAACCAAAATGAAAGTACAAAATAAGTATCTCCTTAATACTTTTACTTTAATAGAGGACAATTTTGTGATTTTACCAAGAGACCACACTTCCCAGGAAATAGTTGTAATTGCCTAGTATGTTTCTATAGCTTCTCTTTAGGCAAACATAAGGGTAATGTTGACCAATGATAAGTAACAAAAATAATATTGTTCAGACACAAGATTTAACATTAGAAAAAAGAGATGTTTCCCCAGTTGTTTTTCACAAATGAACTTTTGCAGTAATATGAAAACATTTAAACATGTTTTATTTTATGTCTTTGATGTTTAGTGAAAGGAAAACACAGTTATAATAAGTTTTAGCTTACTAGTTAAGGAATGTAGCTAATATTTTGCAGTTAAAATCATAGCATCTAAGAGCTATGTTTCTTAAGTTGGGTTATGTAAAACATGTTATGTTGGTTTGGGGTGAAAGCTATATGTAAAGTAGGGTACTCCCCACCCCCTTAGAAAAATCAAAATTTTAAATAGAGGGTATTTAATTCCCCAAAAACATAATAATAAAAAGTAGTTCTTAGACTTTTAATAGACTATATCTTAATAAACTATCATATAGATACTCTGCTCTGGGTACATACATTCCAACCTTTTGACTATGACTAGATAATGGAAATATATGCAACCACTTTCTTTATTTTCACTGGAGATGAACAGACTTCACAATACATTCGTTAATAGCTTGAGAAACTATGTATTTTGCATGCCTTCATTAACAAAGTATTTTTCTGGAAGAATGGATGATTTTCTTCCCTTAGAGCTTTTGTATTTCCATATATTCCTGGTTTATTATATCCTTGTCCGTATTTCCATCACAAACAATTATAATGGGGATAACAGAGGTGCTTTCCCCATTCAAACTATTTTAGAAGTGAGAGAAGCTCGCTTTAAAGGAATAAAACATTTTACCAACCGTAAGTGAACCAAACAACCAACTCAATATGGGAAGATATAGTCAAGCCATTCACACCATCTTCATTCATCCCTTCATTAGGCTTTTAATAATTAAATAGTGCAGAACGCTTTGAAAATATACAGACTAAGTGAAAAAAGAGTTAGTGCCCTTTAAAGTGCTTGAAGACTACTTTTCTTAACAGGAAAGCAATTGGATATTTGAGGGTAGAAACTATGTGAAGAAAAATAAAATGGCATCTCATTGAGTTTCCAGAATGGTTAGAAACATTCTATGTATTTAGATCACATGTCACCAATTTTTTTAAGTAGTTGGAAATATGTGTGTGTGGATTATTATTCTGGGTTGCACTTTTCAGAAATAACCAAAGTCGTAAATCCTGAAATTATCTTTCTTTTTGTGAAGGTTATCATTGGCTTCCATGGATAGTAGTGTTAGAATTATGTTACTCAGAGCCTACAATCATTTAATAAGTTATCTAGATGTTATTTACAATTCTGAAAAACCATTTTGATTCCATATAAAAGAGATAAAATTAATAGTCTACCTTTCTTAAAGATAAACTGAAAATAGCTTTGATTTATAAATAAAATTTGCTCACGGATTTGATTTGCTTAAGTCCTTGACAGGTCCCAATGTATTTGAGAAGAATTGTCTTAAGGTCATTCAAAGAAGTGTCTAATTTATGGTAGATGTTTTAAAGAACAAAAATGATTTAGTAGGGCTTCCCCGGTGGTTGAGAGTCCGCCTGCCGATGCAGGGGACACGGGTTCGTGCCCTGGTCCGGGAAGATCCCACATGCCGCGGAGCGGCTGGGCCCGTGAGCCATGGCAGCTGGGCCTGTGCGTCCGGAGCCTGTGCTCCGCAATGGGAGAGGCCACAACAGTGAGAGGCCCGCATACCGCAAAAAAAAAAAAAAAAAAATGATTTAGTAGTGATGCTGAAGAAAAGCTTTCATATCATACAATCTATTATGATGAGAGTTGTGTGAATATGGAGTTATATAGGCCTTCCTAGCAACAGATGCCTGAATGTACCAATCAAATGTGTCATGCTTTTTGCACCAAAGATATCTTAAATTAGTACCTCTAGTAATTGCTTCAAAAATTAACCAACAAAAATGCTTTTGTTTATAAGTATCTTGAGTATTTGAGAAAGTCTTGGTTCAGGAGAGGATAAATTTGCAGTATAATGTCTTCAAAAGGAAGATTGGCTGAAGTGACCAAAATTTTCCATACTTTCAATTCAAAATGGTCCACTTAGTTTACAATTTCCTTCCTATTTATATAGCCATGAGCATACATGAATAAGTTTAATACTACTGTTTCATATTCATTGAAATAAATCTTATTTAAGTCACTACTTTAGGCAAATAAATATAATACCCACATACTCCAAAAAGTCAAATCTTGCCTAATAGCGTCTTAATTAAATATATTTACATATCTTGCCTAATAGCTTCTTAATTAAATGTATTTACATACAGATAAACTACTTTTCCATTCCTAGCTTCTTAGGAATATGCTGTGTTTTGTTACAGTGGAAGACATGTTTTCTGGGGATTTTCAGTCTAAGATACAACAAAATCATCTCCTACCCAAAGATACTGGCAACTTAATCAAGGTCTGTTAATTGTTAAGTTACTTTAATGAGGCTATCTGTGCCCCAAACTTTTACATAAGTCATTCTTTTATATATCAATTTGAGTTATATATCAATTTGATCATATTTCTTCATAATACTTAAGTGTTTCCATGGTGTCCTATTGCTGGATTCCTTGTCAGGTAGGATAGGGTCCTGAAAGTGTTCAATTGTGATAGAGTGAACTGGGTTGGAATCTTCTTTTGGGATGAATTAGTAAAAGATCTCAAGCTGAATATAACAAAATAATATTGATCAAATCAACAATGTTCCTTCTGCTAACAGTGTGACCTGTTGTTCTCTGAATAATTTGGGAGAAAACTATTTCTTATCTGCTAAAGATCAAGGTCTTGGATTGAATCCAGTCTCCTCCCTTTATCTACACCATGTGTAGTTTTCTGAGCCAACCATAAACCTACAGTGACTTGGGTGAGCAATCCAAAGGAGAACCAGTTTCTTGAGCCCCAAGCTCAAAGTAAAGAGCACTTTGTTACTGCCCCTATTACACAAAATTGTTGCCAATGACCTTATTTCTGTAGGAATTTCAGAATCATATATTTTCCCTAAGGGCTCAAAGTTCTTTCACCCAGACCCCTCAAATGTAGCAACAGGATCAATGATGCATCATATCTAATCATATAGAGAAAACCAGACCAAATCAACTTGAGTCCAAATATTGGTAGAGATTAAATTGGGAGAACTTAAAGACAGTATGTCACTCAGCATCATAAATCTTAAATAATTGACTAAAGAGGCATTTTATTCTCAAACAGAAGATTTCACTAGAACTTTAAATTCCAGAAATGTTTGCTACAATGATACAAGTGTGGATATGGTGCATTTGACAACTGCAGGATCTGTGTAATTTGCAATGTTTTCCAGATTTGAAAAAACTGAGGCAGTTGTGTCTGAATTTATTCCATCTTCTAGACAACATTTTCCAAAGTTTTAAATTCTACGTTTGGATGCATTGGATGTCAAAGACAATAAATGTGAAATGATTAAACAAGCAAAGTATGAAACCTCTCATGAGTCATGTCAACCAATTCCCTTCTAAAGATACCTGGATTAAGTGGAATGTTTATAGGATAAAGACTTTATCCAGTGTAGGAGAGTTCCTCAATAAAATGAAGAGTAGGGATAAGAAGGCAGTGTAAGAAAGTAGTATATCGGAGGTGAAAGCAAAGGAAATAATGTTATATGGAGAAAGAGGGATATTGTGGAATAATAAACATAGATCCTAGTAATCCTTACTTTGTTTTATCACATCACTGGATCCCAATATTTCCTGGATAGTCTAAATTCATTTGTAAAAGAAATATTTTTCTTTGTACTTTCTGACTTCCCCCTATCTCATCACACACAAATACAACTGCGGACTTTTCAAAGTTGCAAATATGAAAAATATAAGCATGCTATGTTAACAGACTCTCACTTATTCACTACTAGCTTCTCTTTTTCCCATTCTGAGAT